CACTCCCAGAACCGGCGATCTACTGTTCGGTTGTAGTTGTCCGGACCCGGTGGTCTGCTGGCCGGACTGCGCCTCTGGACTCCAGCCCATTCATGGCTGGACTGCACTTGGCTGGGAGTCACCTATTATTTACAATCTACGCCTGTTACAATTTAGTAAATTATCCCTAACACTCTGGCATTCCACGCCTTATATTATAAACTAGCTTATATTCGTTGGGATACGTTATATCGTCTATTATCTGACCGGACTACTTCGTATCCCACATTGTTGACCCCGACGTTCACTTAACCCTACACGTGAATGGATTGGACGTGATGATTGACCGGCCATTTGGTTCCCAGGCGTTGGCATTACACTACGCCTTGGCCTGTGCGTTCCCCACGGGGGTACTACTTCGGCCAAATTGAGCTTCAACACCGAATATGGATCGGGCAAGTCGTTACAGTTTTTATAGATTGGGTGTTCGTGAAACGTGACTCAAGTAATCCGCGACTCACACGATTGTCAGCTCTCCTGAGAATTTCCGCCTCAGCAAACTTGAATTATCCTATCAACGTCTAATGACACACTAGAAGCATATTAGTAACTCAGTCGCAATAAGTAATCCTGCTTCCATGAAGTGGGACACTGGTAAACACATACCGTACATATGTTGTTCGCTTTTATTTCTCATTTTTCTCACTTTTTTACCACTCCTTTTTCAATATCTGTCATAGGTAATTCGTATAATAAATTGCGTCTAAAATTCTTGAAAGGTTATTTCTTGACGTGCAGACATTTAACATTTAAATGTAGTCTTCAAGAGGTTTCAGTCACTTACTCAAATACACTAATTGATTAATTTCCAGGACTGAGAATCAGGCTGTAATGGTCCCTTAGTGTGGCCTGCGTGACACCCACACCCCTATGAGATTCGAGTGCCTCTAAAAGAAGTGAAGTAAATGCAGCAAATATCAGATCGCAGGACACCCATAGAAGGTTGACAACTGACGGGATAACTCAGTCTTCCTGGTGAACAGAGTGTAGTGACTGGAGCACGAAGTGTAGTAGATTTGCCATCTTGTGAAAAGTTGACCGAAAATCTAAAATGTGTTTTCGACGAAGAAAGCTTACTTTAGGCGATTTGTACTATTACTTATTGCACAGCATAATACCACGAGTTTTTAGGTCACAAAAGGATGCGCGTATTTGAAGGCGCTTTTTAACGACCACATACAAAAATTGTAGTCTGTAAGTGTGACAAGTTATGTAGTGTGCATTTTCCCCACTCATTTTCGATACTGTTATCTATCTCAATATACTTTATAGAAGATAGGCGAGAAAATACTCCCTCTTTTACTTATCCAACAGAAAAATATGCATTTTTAAAGCGTATACAAGAAGAGAGAACATCTTTCGGTTTCTGAAAACTTTTTAATTCCCAAATAATTTTGAAAACGATCCACTGTTACAGTTTTATTTAGTTTCTAAACTCCACGCTCTATATGTTTTCCCTGTCAGGGCAATAATTTATTTCTTTATGATAGTAAGAATATATTACATAGGGGATGCGGACAGATGTGATCCTTTGCGAAAGGACAGTTTACGGTTTAAAAACATCTTAATATGACCAGTTTGTTTAAGTCGAAAACCGCCTTTCCTTCAAGTGTGAAATGTAAAGAAGACGCTACTTGCTAACAAATAGGTAAAAATAATATTCTCGCTATATAGGTCGCACGCGTTGACGCTTATCCAAAAGAATACGGGAGCACTTCCCGTCATGGCTAGGCAAAGGTAAGGTCAGAAGCATCAACGACGCCATCCTGGCCCACATGTTTGACTCCTGCAGTTCCCGGCCAGGCACCCAACTCACCCCCGCGGAGCTTTTGCTCAAGCCGGTCGATGTCTCGGCTTTTCTCCGTCTTCCAACTACTACCAGTTTGGATTCTGGGGGACTCCTGATCCAACAATGAGCTACGACATACAGACGTGGTTGACTCCGGATATCGTGTGCACCCCAACGAAGCCTTCAAGGTAATTTTTAAAGTTCCACCAAACTACCCAAAGTCCCTGGGTCAGCGTTTGCTAGCAACAGCGGAAGCAACCGCGATCCGGTTGAGGAAGCCGGGTTTGTGCGCGCAAACGAACCTCCTGCAAGCTAGGAGCTTGGTATGACCAGCGGTTACATAACTGTATCGTTCCACGCTGTGTCTCCCTTCCCCCTGTCCGGATTCAACAAATCCTCATTTCCTCGTAACCAGCCGAATAATATCAACCCCCAGCCCGTTCCCCTTTTCCCATAACTAATGTGCCTGTAACGATGAACATAATTGCCCGCACGTTACCTTTACATCCTTCCTATATGAAAGTAATGACCCGAAGACAATTTATCGAAAGCCTACGTATGCTCGCCAAATACTCTTCTGAAATACATATAAATCTACAAGTACGGCGAAAATCATTGAGTCAAGTTCCTACTACTTAAACAGTTATTTTAGCCGACTCTGGTCGTTGCAGGCATCCAGCAAGAAGCTCGTTCAAGGGCGACATTTTATCCTGATTAGACCACCTGGGGATTATGCTACTCGCTAATTAACCTTATAACCCTAGCTGGGAAACAAACAACTAGGACTTTCGGTAAAACATTCCATGAGATCTGCTTTTCTGCCGTCGCAATTCTATCGCCTTGGCAGTCTCAGTTATGTGACACTCACATGCAGCTCTAACTCTTACAATCGAATGAAAGTGGAAACGCAAATGTTTGGTGCCTTATTGTAGACCACTTTCCACGCAAGGTACAAAGCAAGGCAATTTTATTTGGTAGTAGTACAGCCTTGAGCCCCGATGACTCAGCTGGCAGCGAACATCCACAGTTCAATAGATTTTCTTCCTATAACTAACTTCTGGTCAAAGGCCAACCTAGGTCGCAGGTCGGTAGAACGAACCAGTCGCTGGAGTCTGCCCACTTTCGGTGTCCTTCAGGTTCCACTGCATTAACGAATTCTAGAATGCTTAAGCACTCAGCTTTGCGTAAAAAAGACACATTTAAGGTTATGTTACTCTACCTCTAGAACTACCTGACACTGATTAGCCTCAAGAAACGACCGAAATAGCATTTTACAGAAACAGTGGGGACATTAAGCCTTACGCTATTATTATAAAACTCACTAAAATATAAATCTTGTACATCTTACTGATAAATAGAAACTGCCAGGCTCAATCATTGGGAGCAAACAGAAGCAGTTTCTACCTAGAACCCAAAAGTAAGTAAAACATTGCCACAAACCACCTATACGATCGCCATTATTATGATTATTACAAAAATGAGATCCCACCATATTTACTACTTGCAGATGTTGGCACGAAAGACAATACCTAGCCAAAACCTCTTGACAGTTATCTCATTTTCATCACTGCTTGCGCACATCCAGTTTGACGGACTCTTTGTTCTTTAAATGGAGTTCGACCTGATCAATGTTCTTTGCTAGGGCAGACGCTAACGGGCGCTCAATGGACTTGGGGGTTGCCGAGGTAACGTCATCAGACCTTTCAATGAGTTTGTTGGTCTCGGAGCAGCCACACTTCCCTCGCAGTTTGATTTCGCCTTTAGGCAGGCCAAGGGGTTCCAAACGGCTAGGCCCCGACGGACAATAAAAGGCACCATAGTCTTCATAGGTGGTTTTCTGGTGCTTAAGATGAGAAGGCGACGACATTGCCTGTACTGTATAGTTACTAAAGTACACTTAACTTCACTGATGCGTATTTATATGTTGGCGAAGGGAGGCATGAGCAAAAAAATATCACAAGCTGGAAAAGTGCATAGCCGAGAACAGTGTACTATTCGAAAAGAGGTTTGCAAGCGGTAATACCGTCACGGGGCTGACGGTAGGAAATTCGTTATTGTGCTCTGTGCGATTGCATAACGGCATCATAGTGGCAAGGGACCGAACGAGTTCAAACAAAACATTGTGCGCACATTGCTGAACAAATACCAGTCGCATCAGTGCAACCAATGGAATCCACTGTCCCCCGTCATGAAATGGTTCGGGGAAAGGAGCTCATTCAGCTGCCAATTTGCAAAGTTCCTTCTGGACAACGGTCCAGGATAGATTCAAATGGCTTAAAGAGCCTACCTCAGACCTACACTCACTCACCTAAAGAATGAACGCCAGGGCAGAA